TTCTCCATTTTCCCCGCAAGCACCACAGTCTCCTCATGATTTTCCACAGTCTCCAGCCGCATCACAACCTCAAGACCACTTCCAACGTTTTGACAATACTGAAGCTTATTCTCAAGGTTCCCAAACACCTAGGTCACAAATCTCCGGTACGCCATCGTATTCCACGTCTCCCAGGAGCGATGTGTTTTCTCAGCCTCCAGGTACACCACGGCCTATGTTTAATGCTCCTACTACTCGTCCTACTACTCATGTATATGCACCCTCTCGTACACCTGATCCGTACAGTAGCCAACCTCCAACCCCCTCTCCCGCTCCCAATTATTCCTCACCAAGGCCAGAATCCCGGCAAGATTCGCAACCGCCTGAAGTGTTCAATCAACAACCGGAAGTGAATAGACAATTGCGTGATCTTTTGCAAAGGCAACAGTTTAGCAAAAAGATGGAACCAGTGAGCACTACGTGGAATCAAGGTACATTGTATAATAAATACTAAAATATTCGTTCATTTTTTATTATGGTATAAATTTTACACAAATCTGCGTTAATTTCTAGATGGTCAAAATAATGCCGAAAACAATCAACCACAATTTGATGCGAGTCATGTACAACTTCCACAACATTCTCAAGCAGCAAGTAATACCGGTGAAGGCACTTTCAGACATCCTCTCCCCCCTGGTATTGTTAGACCTAGGATGCCCATTCAACCAAACGTTTTAATAAGAAATCAAATTGGTAAACTTCTGCACTGTTTATCATCTTTTTTTTGTTATTATTATATTTTTTACTTCACTGATGCTATTTGACGTGTATTTAGGAATAAATTCGAGACATCCTGTGGCAGGAAATGTAGATGCCAGAGTACAAAATATAGATCCACGAACTAGAATGCTCTTGCAAAGACCGCAAGTGTCTGCAACTATACCTCAACAACATTTTCAAGGGAGTCAGACTTTGCAAACACGAATGCCGGCTGCGAGAAATTCTATTGCAGAACCTTACGATGTCTTACAACAGCAAAGGTTTCCGGGTATGTATATGTTCTATCGAGTATTACACAATATCGTCGTTAAAAAAATTAATAAATATTTTATTGATGAAAGTAATACTCACAGATCCCAATCAAGGACAAAATATGGCGCAACGCATAGTACGAACACCTCAGGATAACTTAAATCAGGGAATTAGAATGTTAGGTCAGCAAGGGGTTGGCATAAGAGCACCTCTCATACCAACGACGGTCGGTGAAGCGACCGTTAGTCCTTCTGAGCCGTCAGAGATTCCTGATAATGTGACAGCAGAACTTGAAAAATTGGAACAAGAGGGAGCACCAATGGTTGAGGTCGAGGGAGTGAGTGCAATATTAGGAGACTTAGGTGATGATGACGACGAACTGCTTGGTAAGTGGAATATTTAAAGAGCAACAAGTTTTTTTTCTTCTAATTATACGTTGTGAAGTGCCAGGTACGAATTTCGATTCTCTGTTTCGTTACAGCAGAAATGGGAGCAGATTTTAATATTCTGGAATATGCTGATCCAGAATTAGACAACATAACCGGTGGTGAGAAAACAAATATACTTGATTTAGATTTAGAGCAAGTTGAGGTAGAGACGAAGGATGAAAAACAAAAGAAAGAAGTTAAGGACGAGGAGCGAAAATCGACAGAGTTAGGCGCAACGAGTGCGGTGCATACTGACATAAGCGACACGTGTAGTACGACAACTACTGTACAAACGCCGACAGAGACGTCTAATGCTCCAACACAAGCACAAACAGTAACACCTATTACCGCAACATCACAAACACCACAGCAACCATCCACGATTATGCCTCAATCACATGCTCAAGCTGTTGTTGTACAACAACAAATGCATCAGCACGTGCAGCAAGCCGCGGCAATGGGCAGGCCTATGCCTCCAGGAACTCGCTTGCTTTCGCCTGATGGAGCAGTTGGCGTTGTTACATCAACTAACACTGTTACGGTCAGTTATCCGTCCACATTCCCTGGACATCCTCAGAGAATACCACAAACACATATCCAAGGTACGCGTATTATTAAAATATCCTCATGATTGCTCAGATATATAGAAGTTTAAGTAATTTAATTTAAGTACAATGTTTTTTACTGATTTCATTATTACAGTACCACAACAGCAGCGCCTTAGTATGAGAGTGGCAGGCGTACCAAATGTGGCTGGCAGAGTGGTTGCTGTGAATCACATGATCGGTCCACGTATGCCTCTTGCGCCACCGCCACCACCACCACCACCTCCATATCCTGGACCACCACCCCCTTACCCTGGACCCATACAGGTTTGTACATGTTACACGTACTCTCGATGTTCTGAAGTTTTTGCATCGCTTTAATTTTGAGTATTTTTTACGCAATTATATCTAACACTTTCCTTTAACCACGAGAATACTAAATATCTCGCAGTTTGATTAAGCAACGAACGCTTCACGGAGTACATAACACGAGTTATTAAAGCTGTTCTTCACTTTCGTTACAAACATTAAATATATTAACTTTAATTTGTCACATACAAATTCTAGTATCTTGCTGACATCCGTTTCAACAATTTCTGTTACCACGATGTACATCTTTTATAACACATCTGTTGATTTTTTATCAACGTACCGATCACGTGGATATTGTATCTTTAATGTGAAATAATTATTGTTGATTCTGTAAATTTGTAGCATTTTTGAATTTTTAATGTAACCGTGTGACATATAAGGTGTCGAGTTTTTTTGTTAAGTATAATAACGAGCGAGAACAGGAGATCTCGAATTTGCTATGAATGTAGGATGTAGGCAAGTAATTTATTTAATATAAAAGTATTGGCTGGTAAAATGGTGTTTTCGCCTGGGTGTTTGCAATGCATTGGTGTTGGTGCATGTCTAGATGGGGCTGTGCCCAGGTGGGCGGGGTATGACGCGGCCCCCAGTCCATATAGGGCACCCAGTACCGGTGGCGGGTCCACCAATGGCCACTGTGGTACATACTGGTACGCCCGCAATGACACCTCACCCTCACCGAAGACCCTTGCTTCTGCAGGTGAGCAAGACTTGGGGACTTTACAGCATTCAGCACAAAATATCACCTGCAACGATGTTAGGAATCAAAGATTCTAGTGTCCAGATTATTTTTGCAGTATTGCTGCACCACTTTTGTTTTCCCTTTCTCATATGACATATGATGATGATGAAAAATAATTGTACTTTGTTCTTCAAATGGTGGATGTCAGGTCATGTTGATGCCTAGTATAAATTTTATTATACACGTTTACCCTGATTGTTCTAAAGCATTTTCTTTTTTATTTTATTATTTGGTAATAATAATGTTGTTAATGCTCCTAGAACCATGTTTTTCTTGACTTCTAGAATGCTTTGTAACCCATATAATTTAATAGATTTGATCAAGAGCACTGTTTTTCCTTTGTATAAGTATTTTCAACTTCTAGCATATGCAGTTCTCACAATGTATTCTATCTGGGTTAAAATGACTTAGCATCTATCAGGAGAGGATTAATTGGAAAATTGTTTCATAGAATTTGACCAGAGAAGAATTGCTTGTTGTTAACATTTTCTTGTTATTACGAAAACCGTGTTTTGCGTGCATTACACTGACAATAATAGAAAGATAAAAATTGGGAAATCTAAATTGAAATGAAATTAATCAATGGGTTTTGTTCAATGATTGTTACATATTATAACACTGTTAATAAAATATGTTGCATTTTCATGTGTGCATGTATGTTCTAAATAAGAAAATATTAGGCTTCATCAAACTATGTATTCTTGATATTTGCTTCATTACAGTTAAACTTTTATATTCACATTCATATACCATTATTTTGTTTAAATAATGTTTATGTTAATGATGATTACTGTAGAAGTAACATATTTGCATGTTTGTATTTTCTTTTTTAATAGTTAGGATGATCAATGTAACTTGTTTCAAAATGTAATAATTCACTATACAACATTATCACATGAACTTAGCATTTATGCAATCATAAATCACTGTTTTAATTAATTGAAACACAAATATATATTTCCATAGTATTCCACCTAATAGTTGGAGGTTCGATAAACTGTCAGTAGTCGTGTTCACAGGAACAACCATTATTGTTGGAGGAATTGTTGGAGCAAGAGAAGCGTGAACAAGAGAAACAACAACAGCAGCAGCAACAACAGCAGCAGCAGCAGCAGCAACAACAGCAGAGCGACAGTACAAATCCCGGAGCATCTCTTCTAAGCGACAGTGAGTTTGAACAATTTAAAGCAGATGTATTGGGTTCTGCACCCCTTGCTTCTCCTCCACAAGGAATTACATCAGTACCTGGAGGAGTTCCTGTAATTAGGCCACCTTGTACATCAAGCCCAACATCCGCTCCAGGTACCAGTTGGCAACAAGCTGTACCGGATGCAACGAAACTAGCAACCCAGGTGCCAAGGCAACCAATTGCTACCCAAACACCACCAGAACGTTCGTATTCCAAACACACTTTATCTTTTTTTTTATATATATATTATAATGTTATCCTTTCAGTTGCAAATTTCTTTTTCTTGTTACAGCGAGAGTTGCCACGTTCAACATCTCCCAGATTCCTGCCCCGCCCACGCCGCCAGAGAATATCGTGAACGAACAGGACCGTCAAGTACAACTGCAGTACGAGCAGTGGCTAAACCATCAGCATCAAGTGTTGACACAACAGTTGAAGTATTACGAAACTGAGGTACAAAAGCTGCGTAAAATACGAAAAGTAAGGATAGAATGTTTTTATGTTGCGGTGTTTTCGTTTTTGTAACACTCTGAATGATACAGGTTCGCTACAGTTAAACTCTCCTAATTTTACAGTCCCTCAATAGCAAACAACGACAGTTACGAAAGTCGGGGAACGAATTGACAGAGAACGACGCGGCCGAGCTGCAACGCATTTCCAGCGAGCAGGCGATATTGCAAAAGCATTTAGACGCTAGTCGCAAGCAAACACGTCAACATGGCATGCTGATACAGGAGTATCACAGTAAACAACAGCAGAGGCAACCGCAACAACAGAGCAGCGAACCGTGCTCACCGCTGATGTCACCATCTCAACATTCTCCGATGCACAGTCCTGCTGCGCTTGTTTCTCAGAGCCCAGGCCCTGGAAACGTGCCCACGAGCATGATACAACATTCGCCAGCGGCTCCCATTATTCAACACAGCCCGAATCCACCTCTGTTGCAACATAGTCCTGGTAATCCGCAATCGGGGAATCCAGGAACGATGTCGCCTCATAATATGCAACAATCTCCTAGAATTGGCACTCCACATTCGCAGAATGAAGAAAGTCCCTTCAGTCCTGGTGCCATGCCGTCGCCAGGAATGTGCGGTCCTACAGCGACCAGAATGACATCTCCGCAGCATCGTGCAATTATCAGCGGAAGGCTCGCGACCAGTCCGGGTGCTTTCACTCCGGACACGCGAAATACGCAACAAATAATCGGAGATCAAGGGGTTAGAGTTCACGCTCTCTCGCAACGTTTCGTCCGTCCACCCGCCGTGGGAGAACCTGGACAAAGACCCAGAATGCAGCTGCAAGGAGGAATCGTATACGGTCAACGTTCCCCACTTGGGAGTCCACAACCCACACAACAAACTCTAATAAGCCAACAACACCAACAAATGCTTCAGAGGCAACAAATCATTCAACAGCAACACGAAACTACTGGAATCCTTCAAGATGGACAAAACGCGTTGACACAACGGACACTGCAAATGGCACAACAGAGACAACAATTGCTGCAACAGCAGCAGCAGCAGCAACAAATAGTTCAACAACAGAGACAACAATTTCTGCAATTGCAACAACAGCAGCAACAACAACAACAACAACAGCAGCATAGTATGCAAAAACCTCCAAGTTCTCCGATGGTATCTCAACCTGCCAACTCTCCGAGCCCTCAGCTTCATCAACAAATTCAACAAAATTACGGACAACCTCCAAGCTCGCCCATGCCTCGTAGCCCTATGGTGCAACAAACCATGGGTTCGCCTATGCTTCAGCAACAGCTGAGTCAAACTTCCCAACCTCCCAGTCCAATGAATACGAGAATTCATCCGCATCCACCCAATTCGCCAATGATATCACAGTATCAACCGCCAAGTCCGATGGCTCGTAATCATCCCTCAACATCACCCATGCTGCAACATCAGTTGAACAACACGCATCATCCTCAGACGTCCCAACCACCCAGCTCACCCATGCCACGAAGTCCAATGGTTGGTGGCTCACCAATGCAGATGCAGAGAAGACAATCTACCGGAAATAGCCCAGCGATGCCAGATCGACCACAAAGTGTTGAAAACCCAGGAACACCAAGAACTCCCCACACTCCGCACACACCTCACACACCACACGGTTCTTACACAGCTCCAACCTCAAGCAACATCACAGGACCAAGTGAGCAACAGCAATTGCAACAACCACATCAACATCAACAACAGTCTATTCCACAGGAGCAATCGTCTACAACAGATCATACGAATAGAGGCGGAGGAAACCCACACAATCCTCTAAATCCATTGCCACTCTCGGCTTGGTTCGGACGATTCGGACATTTCAAGCTTGGACTAAGAGGTGGTTCTCCTATGTGGTCTACGAAGGCCGAGACTAGCAAAGGGAAAACATCGGAATCGCATCTTCTGAACATGGACGAGAAGCCAAACACGTCGGTGGTTGTTCATAGAAAAACCGGTATACCGCAGTCGAAAATCAACTCTCTGGTGTGTGCAGACTACAACGACTTCGACGACGATTCGCACACGCCACCTCAAACTCCACCGACGTCGATAGAAACGAAACAAACCACTGCGTTATCCGACAACGGACCCTTAACGTTGGGCAGTCCAAGCAGCAAAATGGAACCTATACCTGACACCACTGACTATGACGATGATAAAACTATCGTGAACACTGAGGTAACTTTGAGCTCCACTGCTCAACGAGATAGTGACGATATTACTGTTATAGATCAGTTTGGAGACTCAGAACTAGTCGACGTGATATCAGGAACTTTGGAAGGTGACATGCAAGAGGAATACGTGCTTTTCGAGCCTGGAATGGTCGTGGATTTATCAGCAGACAGCAACGATTCTCTCTGTCACGCGTTGGTCAACGAAGGCAGTCAAGGGCACGATTTAGTGCAAATATTAGAAATTGAAAATCCTGAATCTCAAACGGACGAACCGATGCTCAGTGACGAGGACTTGGTACCGTCCCATACAAGGAACAAAAAGGGCCTGAGACTGGACATAGTGAGGACTTTGCAATCTGGTAAGAGGCTGGTAGCTGTCACGGATACTCCAGAGTCACCTGATCAAGAGGAACTTCGCGTAGATCCGTCGCCTGGATCGTACATGGACCAATCACCGGAACAGGACCTTATGATGTCTTTTGTTAGCGAATCTGAAGTAGTAATCATTGACCCTAGTACAAAATCACCCGAGGATAATTTGTCGAAAGAATCATGTGCCGAGGAAGTTGAGAAAACAGATACCGCTAATGTTTCCGAAGCGTCAAAAGAAAATACTGTCGTAGAAAATACTGCTGAAGATCAATCAAAACCACAAAAAGAATCAAAGCCAAATAGAAGTCCAACTTCGTTTGTGTTCTCTGACAAAGTACTTTACAATCAAATTCCACCATCAAGTATGCATCATGCTAACATTGGCGTACCGTCTACGTATAGGTCCATAGCTTCCTTATCAAACTCTGCAAGTACAAATAGTAGTACAGACAATACGAATACTGTTACAGCGGTATCCAGCAGTTTACTTGTAGCGGCAGACACCGCTGTTAAATCGACTCCAATTTTTACAACTCTAAGCATAACGAAAGAGGCGGTGTCTTCTCCCTTCAATAATCAAAAGCAGTTACCATCGACGATGGCGAGCATCGTGGCGGACGCGAAAATTGCAGCTAAACTTAGTCAGACAGCTTTAGAGAACATTGCAGTCAGCTCACAGCAGAATATAATGAAGACAGAATTGTTGCCCAAAATTAATACACAGAATATGGAGATTTCTAAACTTCAGCTTACTAGCTTAGATAAGATTGTGTCGTCAGTGCCTAATATACAGAATAATTTCAGCAGTTTTGTGCAAAGTACTACTACAAGTGCAGTGGAGACGTCGAATAATCCTACGAAATTGATATTGACCGTACAACCAACATCTGTCACGTTGTCTACGCCAAAAATGTCTATACCTGATCTTCCCAAGAAGGAGAATGTAAGCAATTCTATCGTGATGACGAAGGAGAATAAGTTGGAGGTTTTGGAAGAATGTTTGAAGATGAAAAATGAGAAAGATGAAACTGATCACTCGGTGAAAAATTCGGAGGAAACTAACATGGATACTTTAAGCAGAAATGTGGCCACCGGTGTAGCTGTGAGTCAAGAATCACTTCCATCTGATGATAAGAACTCTCATATAGAGAGTAAAACAGATGCTGCTTCTTCGTTGAAAAGGATATCACCAGTCACCGACGATGTATCATTAGTAAATATTTTAGAGAATGACTTGGAACCTGTTGAGAATGAAAACAAAGAAGAAAACGTGACGACCTCTGATGCTCAAAGAGTGAACAGTAAACCGAAAGAAATCGAACCTAGCATCGCTGATAACTCTAATTTGAATATTCCTCGAAAAGAAAAGAAACACGATGAATTATGTACGGAAATTGAAACGAGTAAACCTTACGTGCAACATTGCCTCAATGAAGAAAAAGGTATGATGGAAGAATCGTCTGACGACATATTAGACATGCTGCATAATATTATATCATCTAAGCCAGAAATGGCTAACAGTGAGATACTTCAAGAGGATAGATCGAGGAAATCAAGTATGATGTACGAATTGCCGACACCTTTAGACACTTTACCTCTGAACATTCTCCAAGATTCTTTGATGGACCTGGAACAAGAACACTCGGACAATGAACATCTTTCGCCGATCGAGAATAAAGTTCCGAAAGTACAGAAAACCACTTCACCACCTGTTGTGGAGCCTGCACCGAAAAAGAGCTCTCCGATTCCACATCAGAGTACTCCTCTGGTAGTGAGTACCATAGCACAACTGCAGAAAGGCACAACAACAGTACCTCATCTTTCTCCCCTCTCAAAGCCTACCGAACTAACGTCAAACGTCGCCAACGTGTCGCATCAGCTAAGAACATTGCTCTCTTCTCTACAAACTAATCATTCGCAAAATTGTACAACTGTAAATCAAACAGCAATCGTCACTATGGTGTCCTCAGCGATCTCAGGCCCAAAAATGGGGAACATACTGTCCACGACCAGCACATCCTCGCCGAATTCTGTAAATAATTTACACAGTAACACGAACGTTCGATTGCAGACCTGTATGACCACATCTCACTCTACGACCCCGAACAAAACCGATTTAGAGACCACGACAACCAGTTACGCCCCGCATACAAAGGAAAGTACAAATTCTACAGTAAGCGTTGTTTCTACTTTGTCTAAGATCACGCCCTCGGAACCACTTTTACGAGTCACTTCCAGTGGAATACAGTCGCAAGCTGGTAGCAGTCTCGCCCTACAAACGTCGTCTGTGATCACCCCGAGACCGCCGACCAATTCAGGCATCTCGATCACGTCGAACGCGATGCTGAACGCTATGCTGGCCGGTACAAACTCCGCGAAACCTTCAATCGCCGGTCATCGAACGAATACCGCTCCCACGCAAGCCAGCAACTTGCTGAGCTCAGTGATGGCGACCTCGGTGCAACGCACACAAAGCCTTCAAGCGATACTGCAAGTGAATTCTGGCTGCTCTGCAGCACCATCGCGTGTGGTCGTGAATGCCACGTCTACGACGGTTACAACATCTATGCAGTGCGTCAGAACCATCGTACCTCCAATAGTCACCGCCAGTACCAACAGCATCAACGTTACTACCAGCATACTACAGTCCACCTTATCTCAAACACCTACGCTTTTGCATTCTCAGCTCACTTCGGGCCAGAGTCAATACAAACCAGCCAGTCATTTATCGGTGGACAGTAAGAGTGCAGATCTTGAGAGGCTGGCGCAGAGTACACCGTCGAAACAGGAGCCAGAAGAATCGAACTGTAAACCACAATTGGCACTGGAGAAACCACCAACTGCTAGGTCTGAATTGGACATGAACAAGAGCTCTACTGGTTCCCATAGAATGGAGGAGTCGCAAAATGTATTGTTAAAACAGTTGCTACAGAACACTGCTTGTGCAACGACTACTTTGTGCTCTGGTTCTTCACAAGGTCCCAGTCTGCCTCTGGTACCATCTCTGGAGGCACAATTAGCGAGGCCAGTACCACCTACACCGTTCTCTGTATTACCACCACTATTGAATGAGGTACCAGCGCCGAAAACCACTTGTAACAAGCAAGTTCTGAACAGAGAGACCTCGTTCTTGTCGCAGTCAGTAACACCTCTGAAGGTGCAAAGTCCACCGACCAAAGAAGAGCCATCGAAACCACCACCGCCACTCGCGACCTCTGCACCAGTCTTGTCTCAACAACGTATGGCTGACACGTTCGCGAAGCAACAGATCACAACGCAACAGCCTACCAAAACCACTCAGATTTCAACTCCAACGAATCAACAACCAGTAACGACGGTGACCAAGCAAGTACCACCACCGCTCACGGTGAAAACCCCGGAGACGATAGTGACCCCCATAAAACAGGAACCACCGAGCATTACTCAGCCACCGACGAAACCAGTGAGTGATGTCGTTGTTAATAGTACCGTTCCGATTCAACAACAATGTATATCGACTCCCATGGTCGTGTCACGAGTGGTACCACAAGCGAAACCAGTGATCACGACGGTGGCTGGAAAGCCTGTTCAGCCCACGACACAAGTATCGAGTACTGTTCAAGCGATACAACAACCGTTGACGACTGTAACGACCGCGCCTCCACCACAACAAACACAAGTACAGACTCAGCCCCAAATACCGGTTACCCCGAAACCTATTGTCTCCACGCAACAACAATCCCCACACGTAAACACAATACCACCATCAGTGCCTCATACGGTGTCTCACACGGTGGGCCACCAAGCCCAGGCGTCACAGGGTGCAAATGCACAACACTCAGTGCCTTTAGTGGAAGTCAAAAAGGAAGTTCTTGATGAAGTTCTATCTAGTGGTACACCTACCCAATTAACCGATACCAAAGACTTTCTTACTGCCAAAGAGGAGCTTATCGATGGATCGATTGACGACAAAACTGGTATGCAAGTTACATATGTACACTTATATAAGTAAAAAAATATCTGACGATTCGTGATAATAAATCGTAGTGCCGGTATTTTATGTATAAATAAGTTTTAAAAAAACACAAGTTCGCTGTTTTAAATAAATTTTAAATCGTCTTCAATGTAAGATAAAAAGAGTGTACCGTTAGAAAAAAGTTATGTAAAGTGATAATTGACTCACGTGCGTGCAATCTTTCCTCCGTAGATCTCAAGAAGTTGAAAAGGCGACAATATCAACAGAAACGGAAGCAAAGCCAGGGTAAAGACGCGGCGGCAGCACCTCAGAAAAAGCGTCCAAGGAAAGTGTCCCGCTTAGACGAGGATTATGACACGTTCATTGACAATTTAATGACACAATTGCGGCAACTTCAACCAATGGCAGTATTAGAACCACTTCTAGGCAGAAATTACGGCGTGTGTCCTATATTTGGCTCGGGAGACTTGACGAAAATCGGCAGTCAGAAAGACTATAACACCAGGACAGGAGACTTAGTCGGTTCATACGGATCTGCTACATTGCCGGGTGTATCTGATCACTATAACACTCAACCGTTCGGTGAAATGGAACCCCTACCACCTCAACAGCCAGCTTCTACCCAGAGAGGGTTTTACGATCAAGAATTTCCACCTCTTAAATTAGACGATTGTAAGCGTTCGTACCGCGCGAGTGAAAGGAAAAATGGACTTGGAAGATTTTTTCTTTACAATAAGATCTTAGTCGATGGTCGCCATTGCAAAGAAATGATATTTTCTTATTTCTGCCTAGAAAGGCTATTTCTGGCTATTCTCGAGCGAATCTTATCTAGTATCACGTTTCTTCTTCGTTACAATCATTCTATGCACTACACGTATATTGAACCATTATCACTGCACTATATTTCACTTGAATTCACGTCGAAATTTTCCACTCGATCCACTTCAAACTCGTGTTTTACACGCGACGCGTTCCATATGACCGTCAGTTTAGAACTGAAAGCCTGTGGTAAACAGAAAGGGCAAAAACATTTTTTTAGAAGAAGTTTTTCACGAGCTGAAGCCGTACATGGCGTTTGTTTACTATTGACTAAGGTTATTGAGACCGTTGTTGCTCGGTTTTTGTTGACCAATGTCGCTTAGATTTCGTGAAAACACAAACTCTCACGGTCGTTAACCCGAGTACCGTGTGTATGATCGTTCGAAACTAAGAGACAAACAACTAACGGGTCACCCAAGTGCATTCTTTCTACAATCTCTACTGTAATTTATCTTATTGCTCTTGGGAATAGAGCGACCAATAATAATATGAATATTCAATTTTTAGCCGACGATAAAAAGGAGAATTCTTTGTCAATGAACCGCGATGTGGATTCCCCCGACACAATAGTCAGTTCATCTTCGCCCGAATGCGTTATACCGGAATTCATACATCGATTCCCCGGTTTACGATTGATCGAGGAAGAGTCAGATGAGGAGTCGGATTGGCTGAAACGAGTGTCACCTGTGATACCTTTAATCTCACCGATACCAATTAGATTGAAACCGGCGTACATCGGTAAAGACACCGCCAAACAGGACAAAGAAAATCTAGGAATACCACGGTGAGCATAATGATATATTCCACATAATATTTACACGTTTTACTGTATTAACATAATCCTTGAGAATATTTTTTGCAATATTAGTAATTTGTACAGGCTTGGAAAATCACCTCCAATACCTTTGAGGGATGGCAACGTAACGGTTACATTGACCTTGAACAGTCAGGCTGCGGACGACATAATGGGAGTACTTAAAGATTTGGCTAATATCTTAAACATAGCTCCCCCCACTGGTTACCAGATAGTAGAACGAACTACTACTCCCCCTAGTCAGAAATTAGGTCTTTATAGAACCAAGGGAAAAGATGGTAAAGAGGGAGGTGTGTATCTTGATGAAATAAAAACAATTAAGAAGGAATTCATTCATTTCTTATAAATTCTTAATGTACATCCAAATTTTCAGCTCCAATTGATATACAAAGTATTTTGAACGGCGCCGCCAAATTCTGTCGTCATTGCGACGTTGTGATATTAAATAGCTTAATAAGAAAGAAAGTATCTGATTTACCATTTTTAAGTAAAGAAGAAGCAGAGCCCGGCGACGAGTTATGTTTCTGCTCAGCAGCCTGTTACATGCAGTTCGCCCTTATGCACAGAACACCTTCAAATACCCAAGATAAGGTAGACACATTGTTTTCCTACCGTATATAATGTCAATAAATGCACTGTGCAACATTATGAATTCTGATTAACAAATATTTTTCTCTTTAGGCTGCAACAATAGTAGATCATTTATGTCATAATAAGGTAGATACTAAGGTATTGGATGATGATTTTAAGAAAGGGAAAAAATTTGTGGTGAAACAGCAGGTCGATCATATTGAAACTATGGAAATCGATCAGACAGAGAAGGAAATCGAAATCAAGGTAAAAACTGAGAAGGAAGAACAGGATGTCCCCGAGACGAAAGAGGAAATAGCGGAAGAGAAACGGCCAAAGAAACATCCGGCCACGGAAGAGCCCTCAACTGAATTAATTGAACCACAACCACCTGCTAAAGTATGGAGAGGTTTACGGTACAAAACGTGGTCTCTTGGCTCGATGCAACCTCCTACAAAGTTTAAGAAAGCAACCGACAAAGAAATCACAGAGGTATGAATAAATAAAATTTTAAATAAACATTTATTTATTTATTATACTTACACATTGTAGTCGGGCTTTTCTTCACAGATGCTTTTCCGTATGGGGGTAACCGTAGTACCTGCCAAAGCGGAAGACAGTCGACGATGTATGTTTTGTCACAGTCAAGGTGATGGTACAGCCGATGGTCCCGCTAGACTACTTAATTTTGACGTCGACAAATGGGTGCATTTGAACTGTGCCCTTTGGTCGGAAGATGTATATGAAACTGTAAATGGTGCCTTGATGAATCTCGATACCGCTTTGCAACATAGTCTTGTATTAAATTGTATCGTTTGCGAGAAACCGGGAGCTACTGTAAAATGTTTTAAAATGCGCTGCACCAACGTGTACCACCTTGGCTGCGCTGTTAAAGATGGCTGTGTTTTTTATAAGAATAAGGTAAACATCAAAACAATAACACACACACACACACACATATCTTACATGTCTTTAAAAAAAATTAACGAAATATTTAACAATATTTTCAGAGTACCTATTGCTCTCAGCACGTGCAAAAGAACGAGAAAGATAATGAACTGACTACTCTTTCCGTGTACAGAAGGGTATACGTCAATCGTGACGAGAATAGACAAGTCGCAGCTGTGATGCATCATTCGGAACACAATCACTTGCTGAGAGTCGGAAGTCTGATATTTTTAAGCGTCGGACAGTTACTTCCCCATCAGCTCGCCAACTTTCACACACCGAATTACATATACCCCGTCGGATACAAAATCGTTAGGTTTTATTGGAGCATGAGACGGCCGAACAAACGCTGCCGATACGTGTGTTCCATCCACGACGTTTCTGGTCGACCCGAATTCCGCGTCTTGGTGCAAGAACCTCTACAAGAAGACGTCGAACTACGGGACGCCACTCCTCGCGCTGTATGGAGCAGAATTCTCGAACCTCTCGCCGAGCTACGAAGATCGACGCACAGTGTCCAGCTGTTCCCGCGATACGTTTCCGGCGAGGATCTGTTCGGACTGACTGAGCCGGCTGTCGTTCGTGTTCTCGAAAGTCTTCCAGGCATCGAAACTCTGACCGATTACAGATTTAAATACGGCCGAAATCCCCTGTTAGAATTACCGTTAGCGATCAATCCCACCGGAAGCGCGAGAACGGAAGCCCGTCTACGTAATCAGCTTCCTTGGAAGAGGCCGCATACACAGCGCACAGGCTCTTCAGCCCGAGCAGCTTTTGTTCCGACCGCGACAGTTGCAGGCGAGGTGGCGTGTCCCTATTCGAAACAGTTTGTCCATTCCAAGAGTTCCCAGTACAAGAAGATGAAGCAAGAATGGCGCAACAACGTGTACCTGGCACGCTCGAAAATCCAAGGTCTGGGACTGTATGCTGCACGTGATCTAGAGAAACACACGATGGTTATTGAGTACATCGGAGAAATTATTCGTACTGAGTTGGCTGAAACTAGGGAAAAGCAGTATGAAGCAAGGGTATGTTTTTATGTTGTTCTTTATGTTTCGTGGGGTATTCGTATTTTTTAATTATTTCTCCAGTGTACGTTTCGAAATGATGTATTATTCAATTTTGTACGTCTATTAGGATGTAATAGTGGGATGCTGGAAAAATGGTTAACCTGTCGATGCCTACAAATGCTCTTGTTTAATTTGTATCGAACGATGGAAGAAAGGTGTAGGAACGTGTTTGTTACAGAATCGTGGTATTTATATGTTCCGCTTGGACGAAGAAAGAGTGGTCGATGCGACGTTGTGCGGAGGTCTTGCAAGGTACATCAACCACTCTTGTAACCCGAATTGTGTCGCTGAAATCGTTGAGGTCGAACGTGATCTTAGAATCATAATCTTTGCAAAGCGAAGAATCTCACGTGGCGAGGAGGTATATTATCTTATCTAATTATCATTCTTCTGTGCTGTAAGAGATCTTTGATAAATTATGTAATATTATGTATATTTGTACACTTCTTACAGCTGGCATATGATTACAAATTCGACATTGAAGATGACCAGCACAAGATAGCATGCGCATGTGGCGCGCCTAACTGCCGCAAGTGGATGAACTAAAGAGCTCGATCCACCGTTGTTATTGTTACTACGTTATTGGGTAGGTTTTACATGAAGAAAAAAAATTATATATATATATATGATAGACACATTATTTAATTTGTAAAGTGCCATTGCAGTTTGACTAATTGATTCATAGTGAAGTTGGTGCTATGCCATCACAACATTCCTCCAAAGTTGTACAATATTAGTTTTACTTTACAAAACATAGAAACATTGATCGCTTGTATATTACGGACACTCTTTAAGGACACGACACGGAGTAATTGCAAAAAAAAAAAAACAAATTTTATGGGTCGTGTGTATGTATACAGGAAGTTTGTATCTTTGTATGTTGAGTAGAGTCAACGTTTAGTTGACCGATATTGTAATATAAATCGTTTATTAATTATTATTGCATATACATTGCACTGTATCTGTACATAAGTAGAGGTCCATGTTATTTTGAATCACCAGATGAATTATGTAAAGTAACAGTATCTAATTTAGAATTATATACAATTATAACTATTTCATTATATGATAATAAATCCGTACAAAATCTACTGATCTACTTCGTTTTTGTAAATACCTTTTTTTGTGTATTTCAATTTATTAGCGTGTAGTAAGAAAACTATATTCTTTATTCGATTTCGAGTCCATTAATGAATATTTATGCTTCTTATTAAGTCGTGTAACGATAGAATAAAATATTACTTCTAAATTCATCAAAACTTCTTCCACTATTAAATAACTTCTTTGTTTGAACAATTTACATATGAACAACAAATCTCCATGCAAATAATGTATATAGCACTAATGGAGCATCAAAGATGATTTAAAAATAACTTGACACAATAGTACAATTGAAATCATATAATGTAAAGTAATTAAATTTATTTTTTACAAACATTACATGGAGATCTACTGAAAAGCAATTTTTAAGACAATTTTGTAATATGACATGTCAGATGATGAAGATTAAACATCACATATAATTCGTTTAATTTATAAGAAAAACATGTATAAAGAGAAAATAGTTTATGTTCTAAGGGTAAGGAATAAAGAAGAACACAAAACAAAAACAGATCATGTTCACAATTTTATTTTCATAATTGTAAAATAATATTTACAAAGGAATATATATCGCATGTACACAAAGTACACAGTCGTTTTTTAAGTTTCGGTTAGTATAAGGAAGGAGAATACAACAAAACTAAAATAATATGTACAATGAGTATTCGATTGTAAGGATGTGTCGCGATTAGTTTATACAGAGCAAATATCTCTAACGAAGTCTGAAAAAAATTCAATTGTGCAATTGAGTGAAAGAAAAAAAAAACAAAGGATGACGAAAGAAAAAGGGAGAAACTTCATAAAGTTTTTCGTATTACGTAAATATTAAACGCGTACAATTGTATAAACACTTGAAGAAAAATCAGAAAGAGAGCAATATGATTACACAGTATGCAAAAATATGCAATAATATACAAAAAAAAAAAGCAAATAACGATGTAATCGGTGAAATATATACGAACGTAAATGCGAAGAAGAAATACATTGTAAGAAAAAAATGTATTTTAAATGCGATTCTTTGGCATTTATGCACGATACAATTGTAAGGCGGTCTAAACGTTACAACACCGTGTAACCTATGTACAATTTAAAAAAGTAACTATCACCTTAAGCGTAAAAGTAAGTACGGAGACAAGGTACGACGCTTACAAAAAAACCACTTTGTGTATACTATATATCGACGATTCAGACAACAATATTGCGTTTGTTA